GGCGGCACATTTTGCGATTTGCCAATAGGGCTAAAATCGTACATAGTATGGGGTACTACTCTGCGTACAAAAATCACTACTTTTAGAAGGAACATCTGCCACCAAACACCACCTATATAGCCCGAACAGCCAGGCTGACTATAAGGATCTTCTCAACGTAGAGATAGCACCGGTAATGTAAATAGACAGCATAAATTACGTCCCGTTGGATCGTACGCGACTTTTAATGATAAAAATATAACAACAATTTTTTTCAATGGCAAAGTCATTAACATAGAAGAAGATTCTTGATTAAGGTCAATTTCAGATATAGGCTCACTGCATGTTCTCACCAACCCGATCTATCTATCACACCGATCCGCAGATTTCGCATGCGCTTGACATTAGGGTGCAATGACTGAGGTGCGGTAATCTATCAGTCGTTGACTCAACGAGTATACTAGTACGAGTATAAGTACTAGTACCTATCTATACGGGTCATACTATATAGTTCTATAGTTACGGCTGCTTGAACGCCTCTGAGAGTTCGAATCTAAGCGTAGCCAGTTATTGTTGCCGACACATGTGCTGAAGAAGAGGCCTACTGGTGCGACAGTCTTTATCGGCGGCACAGCCTCTACCTGAGTTTTACACGTGAATATTATTTGGCTGGTTGGATATGTAGCCATTGATAGTATATACAAAAGTGTTGTTACGAGGATCTCACAAAGAAGCATTGCAGGGGAACTATTAGCATTATATGCGTTGGTTGCGTGCGCGGCAGGCGCGGCTTGTGTTCTGGATACCTGATTCGTCTATGGTCCGAAGATCAGTCGCTGTATGCTAGCGATGGCTTCCATGCTCGCTGGCGCGAGGCCAACAATATTCACTACGTATGTGGCAGAGTATCGGAATGTTTATCACGCATACAGAGATGCATAAGCTCGCACACTTGTTAAGTAACGCCAAATAAACGAGGGAAACGTTAGCCAAACGCGAACCTCCCGGATGCAAGAAGATAGCTTTGACATCAGGCCCCTCTCTCGTTCTCTCTCTCATTTTTCTCTGTCCTCTTATCTCTCTGTCCCCCTCTCTCTCTCTCTCTCTCTCACGCTTCTTTCGCGTCATACTCTCTCTCGCGGCGCGCTCTCGTTCTGTCGTTCTCGTGTCTCGCGCTCTCTTCACTTCTCTCTCCTCTCTCCTCACTCTCTTGCCTTCTCATCTCTTTCTTCTCTCATCTCTTACCGCCCCTCGCTCTCTCTCTCCGACATTTATCGAAGACTTGCTTTCAGTACATGCCCTAAGAGCCGTTGTTGGCCTAACGCCTGATTTCGCTGCCTAAGAGAGGAGCATTACGACGCTCACGCCGTGCTGCCATTTTTAAAGCGACGGAGCACAGACCGAAGCTGCCCTAGCTGCAAAGACCTCGCGGCAGACAGACAGGCCAGACAAACGAATAGACAGATACGTCTGACAGGCAGGAGCAGAAGGACAGACTGAGATGGCAGCAGGCGCAGGGTAGACAAACCCAGACGGCATCAAGACAAGCAGGGAATGAACGAGCCGTGCGCAGGTGTCCAACCTGGACGTCGCTTGCGTGCGCAACGCAGGCGCGATAATGACTAATGTATGTGAAGTCTTATTGTATTAAGTAAAAAGAAAACCCCTGCCCATCATGAGACAAACGCACCTGATCGAACCACGCCACGGAGACAACCGAGGATGACATAAACCATACATATATAATGTCCCGCACTTGGTGAAGTACTAACACACAGTGCATCTAGTCGGCGCGTACGGACTCGCTGCTGTCGACGTCAGTGCGCCTAGCCAGCAGGCCGGCCAATGGGCGTTGGCGACAATTGATATATTGCCGCTGTAGTAGCAAGATAAAAAAAAAAACTGCGTACGCGCGCTTCACAGGACACGCCTGTGTGGCGAGTAATGGCTTCCTACCTACATAACGTGCCCTAATGGATCGCGACATAATAATTTTAGTGTGAACAATGGGATGCAGGTGAGAGTGCATTAGTCTCCGCTTCATCATCACTAATGTCGTTCCTTTTCACGCTATCCGTCTCCGTATCCTCGGCTCGTCATCGCCCGTTTCTGTTCGTCGTCGCGCATCATGCACACGGATGTCGTCGGTCGGTCGCATCATGAGCCGGTGTCCGCGTCGTCAATCTATCGACCGGTTTACCATTGTCTGCTCCGTGCGTCATCATGGTCTCATCTTAATCGTCATCATTACGCACATGTAAATATTCGTCAATTGTCAATTTTTTTTAATCATCCATAAGTCCTCTTATCATCATTGATTATTATCGGATCATTGCTCTGATATTAATCGCCGGTTATTGCGCTGTCTATCATCATCGTCGGCGTCCTGTCATTATCACATCGCATCCTTCGTGCGCTGAGTCACATCACCATCATTCAATCATCGACGACCGTCCACGACGCCGGCCTTGCCTCGCGGACACCACACGCACGCGCGCGCCAGCACGCAGGGTACGGACCACAGCGAGCCGCACGCACGCAACCGACACCACAGACATGACTGAATTGCCCTCGACGCCACCACGCCCACAGTCTGATTGCCCGCACGACGCAACATCACGCACACCGCCGAACATCGGCACGTGACTCACTTGCGTGTAGATATCAGCCGAATGCGTCATTCGGCTTTAAAACCGACGAATCAAAAATGGTTTGCGCGAGTTTTTCTACAGGTAATCCACCAGCGCGCCACACTATAGCTTGTTTGCTGTAATTCACGGTCCGAAGCACACAGCCCAGCCAAAGCGATTTCAATTACGCATTAGTATATAGGACGGGACCGGTTTCTTCCCCTGGCGCCACTCGGAAGCTTTGGATTTATTGATCACGAAACCATTACGCAGAAATACATGTTCTCGCCACAGAAAGGCGATTATTTCCTACACGTAAAATCACTGAATCCGCTGCGCAAAAATCTAGCGTTAAGAGATTGACCGAGCTCCAATAGAGATAGCGCTTCATCGATCGATCATCGCATGCACCCTAAGCACTTCAAGCGGCACTCCGCAGCACAGACCTAACGTCGATCGACAGCACGTACTCCGAAGACATCTTGAACGGCCGCTGGCGACTTGCGGGACGGTGTCTCTTCCACACCCATCGCACAAATATCTGATAAACTGCGACGGTCTATTCAAGTTTACTCAGGCGTTTACCTCTCTAATAACAAAATAATTAACGTGCAGCCGCGGCGCGAATCGAATCGATTCCTGAATAGCGACAAACGTCAAGCAAACCAGAGCAGCTCCGTCGAGCGCGTTCCGCCACAGTAATCGCTAGAGCGTATACGCCGGAAGAGACGCAAGCATACAAACGCACGGCGTAGTGAGTGTGATGCATGCTGCATGGTTCTCTTCAAACGCACCAGCTGTGCGGCCTTGAAAATCGGTTTTAATAACATTATGATACCTAACATGACGTACAGGACCGTACGCATTGCTGATGGGGCCATACTACATGACTAGCATACATACATACATACATTATCCCATACATACCATACATACATAATACACATCAGTAAATACATACATTAAGACACCATAGGGCGATACATAACATACAGACATAATCATACATACGTACGCGTACGTACGTACGTTAGGTCGTGACTACGTGCTCGTGCGTGAGGCGGCGCGGCGTGCGTGCGTTGCGTGCGTGCGGTCCAACGCAGGTCCTCTATCTGAAACTATTTTCCGATGACTAATATCTAACAAAAGTCACTCAGAGTCCGCACTAATAACATTTCGAACAGAGCTAAAAATACACAACTGCCTCTCCGTCGTTGTCATCGGAATGACAGAAGACACCATTCGTCAGTAGCCCAGGACTATTAACCTGATAAAATAACTCATCCAGCCAAAGCAACGGCATATCACGCTCACAAGATCGAACAGCCAATCGCCGACACTTAGTTAAGAGACCCTTGCCGTCTGTTCAGCCATCTTCCCATCTCGTGGTGACCAACCGGCTATCATCCCTATTTCTTACTATTGCAAGCTTTTATGTTGCCACTGTTACATGCAGTTATGTTCGTGTAAACTACGCGCTTACATTACATATTAATTTGTTTTATACAAATATTTATACAATTTATTTAGTATTACATTACATTACATATTATTTATTTTATAAAAAATATTTATACAAATATTTATTATTACATTACATTACATATTAATTTATATTGCAGCGATGTCTGTCGTTTCCTGTGATACGTAACGCAAATTAAAGTCAGCTCCCACTGACGGCTCCTAAATGGCTCTGTCTTACGAATACCCCTAATCCTATACTCTTATCCCTACCCCTCCGCTATCCCTGCCTCTACCATTGCCAGTACTTTACCCCTACTCTACTCCTACCCTTCTCTTATCCTTACACTTACCTTAGCCCTATCACAACCAATACCCCTAATCCTACTCATATCCCTACCCCACTTCTATCCCGGCCTCTACCTTCACCCCTACACTTATCTCTACCCATACATCTATCTTTACCCCTACCTTCCCCCTACACTACTCCTACCCTTCTCTCTTCCCAACCCTTACTCTTATCCCTATCTTTACTCGTACCCCTACACTTATCCCTATCCCTACGTCTATCCCTACCCCTACATTAACTCCTACACCTACCCTAACCCCTACCCCTATCCCTAACCATACCCTTACCTATTTTATAACAGCTACCCTTACCACTACACTTATCCTATCTCTATCCCTACCCCTATCTTTAACCGTACCTTATCCTTACATTTATCCCTACCTTTACCCATACCTTAAACCCTAACGACTACCCCTATCCTACTCCTACCCCTACTACTACTTTCCCTACCTACCTCTTCCTCGACCCCAACCCCTATATCATTGTTATTAATATTATTATTGTTAATATAATTATTATTATTAATGTCATTTACATTTTCATTACTATAGTATAATTATGCTTCATTTGACGCGTTGCAGAACGTCTCCATATCCGTGTCCATCCTGACACTGAGCGCCATCGCCGTGGAGCGATGGTACGCCATCTGTCATCCGCTCAAGTTCAATAGCACGGCGACGCGTGCCAAGCTGATCATCGCCTGCATCTGGATGCTGAGCTTCATCATCAGTGTGCCGGAGCTGGTGGTCAACTACGTGAAGCCGAAGTTCGAGCCGGAGCTGACGCGTCTACTGTCGCAGTGTCACGTCTGGTGGTCGGCGGAGAGCGATATGGTGTACCGCTGCACGCTGCTTGCCGTGCTCTACGTGATGCCGCTGCTGCTGATGTCGGGCACTTACACACTGATCGCGCAGTGCCTCTGGTCGAATACGATACCCGGCGCGCAGCAAGGCGCAGTGTATAAGGCGCAAGGTACGTGTGTGGGGGGGGTGGGTGTGTGTGTTGTGTGGTGTAGTTGTTGTGTGGTGTGTCCGTGGTGTTGTGTTGTGTGTTGTGTTGCGTGCGCCGTGTGTGTGGTGCTGTGTGTGTGTGTGTGTGTGTGGTGGTGTGTGTGTGTGTGTGTGTTTGTGTGGCGGGCGAAGCGAGAGGGGAGCAAGCGTGCGCTGGTGCACACGACGCCAGGATGAGAGCGTGCGTGCGTGCGTGGAAAGAGATGGAGCGTGTTGTCGTGCGTGCGAACGCTGGAGTGCGAGAGTTAGCGTGGCGAACGAGGATGCGAGCGTGTGTGCGTGCGTAGCGAACGCGGATGCGAGCGTGCGGTGCGTGCGTGGCGTGCGCAACGAGGATGCGAGCATGTGGCGTTGCTTGCGAACGGGACTGCGAAGCATTCGTGGTGCGCTACGTGTGAAGCGAGGTCTCATGCGAAGCGTAGGTTGTGCGTGGCCGTGCGAACGAGGATGCGAGCGTGTGTAGCGTGCGTGCTGAACGAGGATGGCCGAGCATGTGATCGTGCGAACGAAGGATGCAGACGTGTGGGTGCCGTGCGTACGAACGAGATTGAGCGAGCGTGTGTACGTGACGAACGAACTAGGATGCGGAGGCCCGATGTGTGCGTGCGGCGTGCGCGAAAGCGAGGGATGGGCGAGCAAATGTGTGCGTGCGAAACGAGGATGCGAGCAATGTGTGCGTGCAGGAACGAGGATGGAGCGGATCTGTACGTGCAAAACAAACTAGGATGCGAACGTGTAGTGCGTGCGTGCCGTCGCGAAACGAGGAGTGCGAGCATGTGTGGCGTGCGACGAGATACCGAAGCATGTGTGCGTGCGAACGCGTGGATTGCGAGCGTGTGTGCGTGCGTACGAAGCGAGGATGCGAGCGTTGTACGTGCGAGCGTAACAAGGATAGCGTAGCGTGCGTGGCGCTGCGTGCGAAACAAGGGTTGCAGAGCGTGGTGTGTGACGTGCGAAGAAGGGGTGCAAAGGCGTGCCGAGGCGTGGCGCTGCGAACGAGGATGCGAGCGTGCGTGCGTGCGAACGATGCGAGCGTGCGTGCGTGCGTGTGAACGAGGATGCGAGCGTGCGTGCGTGCGAACGAGGGTGCGAGCGTGCGTGCGAACGAGGATGCGAGCGTGCGTGCGTGCGAACGAGGGTGCGAGCGTGCGTGCGAACGAGGATGCGAGCGTGCGTGCGTGCGAACGAAGGTGCGAGCGTGCGTGCGTGCGTGTGAACGAGGATGCGAGCGTGCGTGCGTGCGAACGAGGATGCGAGCGTGTGTGCGTGCGTGCGAACGAGGATGCGAGCGTGTGTACGTGCGAACGAACGAGGATGCGAGCGTGCGTGCGTGCGTGCGTGCGAACAAGGCTGCGAGCGAGCGTGTGTGCGTGCGTGCGAACGAGGCTGCGAGCGTGCGTGCGTGCGTGCGTGCGTGCGAACGAGGATGCGAGCGTGTGTGCGTGCGTGCGAACGAGGATGCGAGCGTGTGTGCGTGCGAACGAAGATGCGAGCATGTGTGCGTGCGAGCGAAAGAGGCTACGTGCGTGCATGCGTGCGTGCGTGCGAACGAGAATGCGAGCGTGCGTGCGTGCGTGCGTGCGAACGAAGACGCGAGCATGTGTGCGTGCCAACGAGGACGCGAGCGTGTGTGCGTGCGAGCGAACGAGGCTGCGAGCGAGCGTGCGTGCGTGCGTGCGAACGAGGATGCGAGCATGTGTGCGTGCGAACGAGGATGCGAGCATGTGTGCGTGCGAACGAGGCTGCGAGCGTGCGTGCGTGCGTGCGAACGAGGATGCGAGCGTGTGTGCGTGCGTGCGTGCGAACGAGGATGCGAGCATGTGTGCGTGCGAACGAGGACGCGAGCGTGTGTGCGTGCGAGCGAACGAGGCTGCGAGTATGCGTGCGTGCGTGCGAACGAGGCTGCGAGCGAGCGTGCGTGCGTGCGTGCGAACGAGGATGTGAGCATGTGTGCGTGCGTGCGTGCGTGCGTGCGTGCGAGCGAGCGTGCGTGCGTGCGTGCGAACGAGGAAGCAAGGAAAATGCCTTTTATTTTGACAGCTGGACGCCATCCTCGCCCTGGCCCATAAACGCTGTGATTAACCAAGTGCTAGTTGCAATAGCAGTAGTTAGTTCAGTACTTTACTCGACAATTTCACGGACGTCGATTCCGCGCCACGCCTCTCTTTAGGTCTCTGGGGGGAGGGGGGCAATGATAGACATTTTCTTGAGGAGGCCCTACGTAGGAAATCATAGCTGCCGGTATGTCGCCGTGTTTTTACTGCACAGCGATAAGTACCGAGCGCATGGTTAGCGTTGTCGCCAGGGATTGACTAATGTTGAAGCGCAGTCACGAAGGCACGAAGCGTCGTAAAGAGTGAGAGTGTGTGAAGGGGTTTCCCCCTCTCCCTGGTGGGTGTCCGGGAGGGCTCCCCGAACATTTTGAAATGATACATTGAAAATGGTGCACGCTGGCGAGATTTAAAATGAAATTGAAATGAAAAAAACATTTGAAACACAGTAGGCCTACAAAGTACATTGCAACTGTTTAATTTCATAATTAAAGAAAACAATCCGGAAATAATGTTGAAGCCCCTAACATTCGGGTCTCCGCCTCACGACGTGCAGGGAGAGTAAACCATTGCCCATATAAGAAGCTCGTACTATTTGCACTATCTGCCCTAGCGTGAATCTCATCCAGTTTCAGCCAATCAGCATTGCGTTAGGACGGCTGAAAAAACGTTTCGGATAGTAAGGAAATTCCCCTTCCTAAAAAAACTGGCCATTTGGCTTGCACGCGTAGAAACTCGATGTATAAACTCATCCAGCTTGACTTGTGCATCTTACTATAATTTGGCGAATGTTGTATGTATGTATGTTAATGAAAGGCTCCGTCAGTTTTGATCCAAATAGCGCCAAATTCACAGAATAGATCGATGAATACCCGGGACGGGTTATAAACTATACTCGGTTAAAAACGGTAAAAAAGGCTTAAAAAAGACCAACAAAAGAGGTAAAGATTTGCCTGAAAATAGGGGGCGCTATATCTTTGCCTTGCTAATATTTTGCCGTCTGTGAACGTTGTGCTGCATGCACAGACGTTGCATGCATGCACAGTTTTTGTAAGCCCAATAATGTAAGTAGAAATAAGAATGTAATAATGAAGTTAAATGTCAATGTCAAGGTCAATCTCTTCTCTTATCTCTCTGGGTATTGAACAATCGGTACCACATGTATCACAGTCACTAAGCCCGCGCTTAGCGCGGGTTCCAGCTAGTATTTCATAATATCAAGAGCTAATAATACCTAGAGTGTACAACGGAAAAACGAGAAAATAGTGCTATTTCACGACAACATTATTCTACTTTGCCTGCGAGTCTAGGCTGAGATATTGGTTTCTAAACTTCCCCTCCCACATGCCTCACGCCGCCTCGCATCCAGCTTATTCACCAACCTCGACGCCCCTAAGCATTGCTTCGTCAAAGTTCGGTTTTTCCGCGATAACTTTATGAATGAACGGCGTTTCGGTTATCATAGGTGACTTTTGAGGGCATCGCCTATGCCCTTATCTTCCATTATCTTTTCTAGCCCGTCTAATGCCCGTCATGATGGAGCCGGCAATGTTTCTCAATTAAGTGTCTACAACGCAGCTCAGATACTATATGGTGTAGTATGAGTACCAAATTTGGGCATGTCACATCAATTATCCTCCAAACGGTGACGGAAACGATAGCCGAAATGCTTAGGGCGTGTAGCGGTTGGTGACTAAACGGGTACGAGGCGGCGTGAGGCATGTGGAGGGGAGGTTTAGGAGACCAATATCTCAGCCTAGAAGTATCGTATTGACAAGCGCGTTGTCTTGTTTTAGAGAGCAAAGAATTCTGCTTAAATGCAATACCATAAAATTATTTAGACTCGCAGGCAAAGTAGAATAATGTTGTCGTGAAATAGCACTATTTTCCCGTTTTTCCGTTGTACACTCTAGGTATTATTAGCTCTTGATAATATGTGTATACAGATATCTGTGCCCTGACCGACCTAGCAGTGATATCGCGGGAGCTGTGGGCATCTTGCCAGATCGCCATATTGGCCGGTTGCCATATATTGTCGGTTTATTCCCATTTCGCCATTTCCCACTTCGCCATTAGCCATATCGCCATTAAAAATTCCCACTTCGCCATTTGCCATTTCGCCATATCCCGTTTCGCCATTTCCCACTTCGCCATTTTCCCATTTCGCCAGTTTTCCGTTTCGCCAGTTTCCCATTCCGCCATTTCGTCCTATCTCCCCGACCACCCCCTTGTTTGAGGTGGGTTAAAAGTAGGCCTCTGTAATGAATAAGTTATAACGAATCTTTAGATATAGAGTCAACTATTTATTTGAAGAACAAGAAGGCGAAATCGTACATATCAAAACATATGGATCATGTACAGGCACCCTAACCCTAACCCTAACCCTAACGACCTAGAAATGACTCTTTTTTTAAGAATGAAAGGATCAATTTCGTGAAGGGGGTGGAAGCAACATAAAATATTGGCGAAATGGAAAACTGGCGAAGTGGGAAAATGGCGAAATGGGAAAATGGCGAAGTGTGAAAATGGCGAAATATCAAATGGCGAAGTGGAAAACTGGCGAAATGGGAAGACACCATAGCCTCGTTCACACGAGACCTCGTATTTATGAAATACGGTATTTGCGAAATACCGAATCTGAGGCAAATACGCGGCCGAGCGTTCACACGCTGATTCGCGGCTCCAGAAATGCCGTATTTGCCGACGCCTGCGAGCTGCTTTAAACAATCAAGCGAACAATGTCGAAATAAACAATGCAATGCCGCACCAACTGCCGATAAAATACGTAGACGTCGTCCGCCCGCCTCGCAACAGTTCTCCACTGCGTTACACTGGAACTGTTGGCGCAACCAGTCTAATAAAATACGCAGGCTTCAGAAATCCGGTATTCTAGCGTTCACGACGAGGAAAT